CCTGCTACTTGGCCTTTGTTGCTCGCCAAACGGCGGCATTTATGTAGTACTCACTGTGTGTGTGAGGGGCGTGAGTTTTCATGACTTTATTAGCAAGCAGCTTGAAAAGTTCCCTCAGGCACCCGGTCGCCACCTGTCGGCAGGCAGGCGAAAACTTTGGCACAGACACACATAATCAACACCTAATCAAAGTAATAGAAACTTATTGGATTAATCGCTGTATAGAATTTCTATTTGCCGATCAAAGGCAGTCCGTGATTTTGTGTGTGTGTGTGGGGTGGGGTGGGGATACTAATTATGCAACTTCTCGGACCCACTCTCAAAGTCTCTTTCCCCAAATCTCGATTCTCTCGTGCTAGTCGTCAAAATTGGAAAATCTCCGGCCACCGATGACAGCTGTCAACGGCGGGATGACAATGGCAATGCAATCTAGCCATCAATTTTGATTAGGCTTCCATTCGTTTGCGATGATTCCGATTCCGGTGTTGATGAGTCCGATTCCGATTGTCTATGCCGCTGCTCTGGGCCACCCACTGGGTTAGTGGGCGAAAAGGCAGAGTTGATGGCTCCAGACGATAATTGAAATTATGCAACTGCTGACAACTTTGACGACGGCAAATGGCTCTGGCCAAGAACAAGGACAAGAAGCAGGCGACTGCATCGAAATCACAAAAGGATGCGAAGGGGGAGGCACTTAGCTCAAATCTCATTTTTAGTTTCTGCCTAGAAAACAAAAACAACTCGTTGGCAAAGCTTGAAAAATATTTAAAAGCTTTCAGGCAGCGAATAAATTCAGTTCCTTCAATAAGCTAAGATATTACTAAGATTTAAGTTTATTTTTAAAATCATCAAAAATATTTTCTAAAATTAGAAAAAGTTAAATCTAAATAAATTTACACATTGTTCAGATCAGTAATAATTCCTACCTGAACTTATATTTTCAAGATCATAATCCGAATCAGTTAATCAACTATGGTTTATTATAATAAAACTTGAAAGATGCCAGTTCTGTTGAAGTCTCTCAAAATGATTACCTCAAAAGTGATTGTCGGGTGCAAGTAGATTTGGTCGTAAGCCCAGTGGACCAAAGGCACCACAAAGTGGGCGGAATGGAGATGCTGATGGAGGGGGCGTGGCATGATGCTGAATATGCTGCATCAGCTAAGTCCGCCTTTCAAGTCCACCTTTGTCTCCATCCTTAGCTCGTCGGGTCCTTCGTTTCTGTGTCATCGTTGTGAAGTAAATAATAAAAAAAAGAAGGAAAAATTGTATTTAGACCAAGGCATAATTATACAAATTGGGAATGCAATTAAATTTAATTGTTCCAGCGTTCTTACCCAGTCTGTCTTCTGTATGTGCTGCATGTGTGTGTCTGAGTGTTTGAATGTTTCAGTGTTTCCAGTGTTCAGTGCTCGGTGAGTGTTCCTTGGCCCCCGTTGCTCCCTTAGTCAATAAAATGTAAAAACGTTTTGAGCACGAACCTTATCTTCCACTGTCGCCCGCCTCGCAGGATTCGTCCTGTTCTCCTCTCCAGTACAAGTGCGCGTAAGTGCCGTAAATAAAACAAGCAGAAATTATAACAGGCGGGCGAAGAAGTGCCGCCGGGGCAGCCCAACTATTCCCCTCACCATCGAGCGATCAACAAAAAAAGAGAAACAGAGGGTCCCGGGGAGCGAAACAAAAACATCTTATAATGATACATTAATCCGGGCAGACTGGGCCTATAATGAGGCAAGCGTAAGGCTGTAAGAAAACAAATTGCAAGAAATGAGCCCCGTGCCGGAAGGACAATGGTCCATAGAATATAGAAGGGCAGCCAGGATAACAGAGACCCGGGAAATTGTCAACCTGGCCAAAAAGCACAAGTTAAAGCTCTCCATTTCTTGCTGCATTTGGTGGTCTCTTATCTTTCCCGGCTTTGGCTTCACTACAAAAAGTATTTGTTTACCGAATGCACACAAGATCTAAACACAAAATAAGAGAGAACCCGACTATCAAGTACCTGTTACTCAGCTAAAGAAGGTGCGAGAGGGACGAAGATAAGCATGCAGCAAAGCGACTGCTTGCACTGCTTGAATTCCATTATTAGCAGATAACTTTTTAATGAATGGTCCAATTTGAAAAATTTCTTCTACATTTCGATAGGTATTTATAACCACAATAAAAATTGCATTTACACATTTCAGAAATCTTTCTTTCTGAATTAAAAAAACTTCTGCATTTTTAAATTTTTTTTTCAATTTATTAATCGGGCTTAAAAAAGCATAAATATATTAACATAATAACTATAGCCTGGTGCAATAGCCTACCCTTTACAAGTGAAATATTACATAATTTTTACAGTGAGGCTCTAGATTTTTTGGCAGTGCCTAACTGAAGGAATCACCGGGTTGCTGGTTTGCTGGTTTGCTGGCGGACATTGGGAGTCTGAATCGGTTCGTGGCATAATATCTTAATTATTTCTTTACATGTGTTTTAATTTTTAGTAAGCACTTGCTTCCCTGCAGCGGCAGTCGCTCCGCCACATCGCTTGGAATTTCAGTCACGTGCTGCAACTAATCCCCGGCCCCACACGCGCCTGCCATCTGGGCAGGAGGAGAAGGACCAAAACCAGGACCCAAACGGAGGACCCGAGACCAGCAGTTTCCAATGGCAACAGATGAGATGGGCACAAAGACCAAGGCGAAGACGGGGGGCAGAATTTGGATGGGGATGTCAGCAGGAGGATGCTCGCTGGCAAAGGTAAATGCCAAAGTAACTAACTGTGTATGCACTCGACGAGGCTGGCGAGGATTGGGAGGATTTGGGGGTCTCGGTTGGGACTTGGTTGGCACCGGTAGGACAGTCAGCTCATTTCCAGACAGGGTCTGCCTCCAGATCGTTTATGCGGACAAACCCTGGAACAGTAGTCTGGTTTTTTGATACAAATAATTTTTCACTTAATATCATTTTTTATGAATACTCTACAAATTTTGTTACTATAATTCCAATAAATTATTGTAGATTTCCTTAAAGTATTAATAAGATTTTATGGTGTTTATTAAAACCTATCAAAATGTTAAATACAATTTTAAAATCAGAACATTCACTAAAAAGTTATGAGCAAATTTTGGAGTGCAAGCAGTATACAATCTTCCTCGCTTAGTAATGGGTATTTTCATGGGTTTATTCACCTTGGCAAATGGTGATTATAAAGCACGCATAAACGATGTTCGAGCTGTCGAGACCGACACTTGCGCCGAGTTTTCTCAATTACTCGGGCCAGGCTCAGCCTTCTAAGAGGAGGAGGAGCATCCTTTGCGTATGTTGATTAAACTTAAAAGGAGAATAGGAAGCTATGCGACTGTGTGAGTGAGTGAGTGTGTGCGCCAGTGTGTGTGCCAGTGTGTGTTAGTGTGTGTGCCCTTGCCGGCGCCCTCTGTTTGTATTAATCCAACATAATTAAGAAATTTAATTAAAGTGCAGCACGCGCTGAATGCGGAATAGCTAGTTTGGTGCGAAGGGAAGGCAACTCGGCAACTAGTCTCTGGATCCGGATTCGGATTCGGATTGGGACTCCCAAATGAGTTGGGAGGAGCAGTTTCTGCCACGCGTCACCCATAAATCGGTGGAACTAGATAAACTCCCTCACACCTTCTCCTCGTCTCGAAACTGAGACCAAACTGAGACACTTGACAGATCGCTGTACTTAATGCCCATCGTTAATCGCGATCAGGAGGTTTTATCTACTAAGAAGAAAGTAGTCTGCCAGGACTAACGATAACGATAATAAGTGGGCCACCCCTGTTCCTGTTTGTTTCTTTTGCTGTAACTTGCCCAAAAATGGTCTAACACCAGAAATACATACTGTTTTAAACAGATAGCAAAATAATAAATAACTCCATGAAACTGTCCATTTAATTAAAAAACAAGAGGGAACGTTATAGTCGGATGCCCCGACTATCAGATACCCGTTACTCAGGTAAAGGGAGTGCGAGGGAGATGGAGATAGAGATAGAAAACGTTGATCACGCATAACTTTTTAACGAATGGTCCGATTTGAAAAATTTCTTCTACATTTCGATAGGTATTGATAAACACAATAAAACTGCATTTTTACTTTTCCAAAATATTAAAATTTTTAAAATCGTATATAAGCGATGGTGGGCGTTAGAGGGGGCGTGGCACCATTTTGAAACAAACTTGCGCTGCGTAGGAATTCCTAGAATCTGCATGCAAAATGCCAATCTTCTAGCTTCTATAGTTTCCGAGATCTCAGCGTTCATACGGACAGACGGACAGACAGACAGACGGACAGACGGACAGACGGACATGGCTAGATCGACTCGGCTAGTGATCCTGATCAAGAATATATATACTTTATGGGGTCGGAAACGCTTCCTTCTAGCTGTTACATACTTTTGCACGAATCTAGTATACCCTTTTACTCTACGAGTAACGGGTATAAAAATAAAAAGGAGATGATCATGATTTTTCGCGAAAAATTGCCAAAAAATAAAAGGTCCAGGTTTTATTGCCAATGGATTGGAAATTTAATAACGAATTCAGAAAGGTATGACAATCCTTATTTGGATCCATATTTTTTTTTTGTTTTAGCGAAAAACCGGTTTTGATTTTCTTGAAATTAAGTGCAAGATGATTGCTGACTTTCCAAGACTCATAAAAATATTTTTCTAAAATTTTGAAATCTGGCCTTTAAACTTACAGCCTTTAAAAACGGACAACAAAATTTCCTAGTTTTTAGAAAATGTGCCTTTAAATCTAGCAATTTTCTATATTTAAAGGTGATTTTACTAAAAACAAGAAACATTTTTTCCATTTCCAAAGGCTGACAGTTCCAAGGCGAGATTTCTAAATTTTTTGCGAGTGAAGACTGCAGCTAGCTTCCCCCCGTGATTCCGAGAAAATTAAAACTATATTACAAGTTTTGCAGTTGGCAGGGACGCAGGCGGTCAAAAGTGAGGACCTCTGCTCCCCGGTAGAACTTTTCAAAACAGCTCAACGATTTATTGATTTGAACAAGAAAATGAAAAATATATATGGGAAAGTGGGTGGGCAGCGTGTTATGTTATCGTGGATGGATTACCATTTGTCAGCGGACAGATCGCTGAGTGTCTCGGTTAGCTTTTGCAGATCTTCGGCGCCTTCGGATTTCTTCGAATTGCGAGTCCCAGAAGTCGGGGGATGTTCCGTTCCCGGTCTAAAGGATCTTTCCCCCTGACACAAATCGCATCTTGAGTGGCCGGGACTGCCGGGGTTTTCGGCCGGAAGTCCAGTAACCGCCAAGGTGGCAATGGCCTGGTGCCTCCAAATGAGATCCTCGCGCCGCCTCAGATCCTCGGAAAGCAGCCGCAGTCTCTGACGCTCCTGCCTCAAGGATTCGTGAAAGCGGCGCAGCTTTTCCTCCTTTTCCCTTAAACCAAATTTGTCGTGGGTCAAAACGTGCTCGTAGAGCATGCGAACATTGTCGTCCCTACGTGTACAGGCCTGCAGGACCAGGCTGTTCAAAGTGTCCTCCAACTTGATATCGAGCTCGGCAATCTGTGAACTGACCACCAGTTCGTTTCGCAAAAGAGGCTCCAGGCAGGTGGCCAGGAAATGGAGACGCACGGTTTCGCCGGGCCAATCCTTCAACAGTCCAATGGCCGATCGGCAGGCCTGATTTAGATTCTCCTGAACGAACTCCGGTTTTCCTGTTTTGGACTTTTCGGCCATCTTCTTGGCCAGCACTTGATTTCGGCTTCTGTAGAGCTTCTCCGTTTCCACGGCGCGGCTGTGCAGCGACTCGATCTCCCTGAGGAGATTCTGATTCGCCTGTTTAATGCTCTCGAATCGGGGAGAGGGAAGGGGCTCCTCGGCGGCCACTTCCTGGTAGCAGGAAGAGTTCGAGATCTCATCATCATCATCATCCGCTGGCTGCTGGTCCTCCACTGTCTTCGCCTTGTACTCGTTGACCAAATCATCCAGGGGCCGGTTCATGCTCTCCATTTCGGTGAAGGGCTTGGTCAGGTGACCAATTTCCCGCAGCTGGTTGCACAACAACAACATCAGGCAGTTCCGGGCGAACTTGTCATGGCCCCTGGCCTCCTTGAAGTGATTCATCCAGCGCTGGCTAATTTCAAAGTCCTCCTGGCTGACTGGGTGCTCCTTCGAGTAGGATCGCAGATCGCGCAACTGGGCAGTGAAGTGGCGATCCAGGGCGCACTCATTAAGGTCGCTCATTGTTTTAAACCGTTCTGTAAGTCTTTCGGAATTTCGATTTGATTTTTGTGTTTTTTTTTTGTTTTAAATTTATTTTTTTGTGGACGAGAAGAGAGAGTTGATCAATAGGTAGAAAAGGTTTACAAATAATGCTATGACATTCTGACAGTTACTATATGTTTTGTTTAAACTTACTTGGTTTCAATGTACACAGAAAAAAAATTGACAAAAGATCGTATTGATATGTGCTGGTCAATTTTATATTTTCTCAAGATCATATCATTTTGATATGAATAGAAATTATGTGTATCTTATTTTAAATTATTTGTTAAAAAAATACTACATTTGATATGTTTTAATCATAAATTTGACATAAATCATATCGGCTTTTTATTTATTAATATTAATGAACAAAAAAAGTTACATTGTTGATAATGACCAATAGGTTTTGTATTCTATTCTAATTTGTTTCTCCCATTTTCAATCCCTTTCTGGGGATTTCGTAACATGGCCATGATTCTAAGTAAAAAATCGTATTATATTTATTTTCCTTATTATTTCACTTCATAATTAAGAATACAAATAACAAGGGTGTTATTAATATTTTTCTGCCAAGGAGAATTATTGCTTATATTATTTTTATGTGATATGTGCTTCACCCGCACAAGCATATTTAACAACACTAAGCTGTGACCCCGAGTATTTGACTCAAATGACCAACGACTCGAAGAGTTTTTCCCTCATCTCATTACAATCATTGTGGGAGTGTGAAACGCGTTTGCGTTGATTGTTTGACAAAGTTCCCCGGTGGCCGAGCCCAAGATAAGTGCCACTTCAGCGGTCAGACATCAGACATGCAACATTCAACAGCCAGCAACCAACAGGCGAGGTCAAAGATCACCGCTGGAGTTAACGGGAATAACGGCGAGTGGTCGAAAAGCAATCACCGACCGAATCTCGGGCTCAGGGGTAACGAAAATGTGCGAAAATGCTGCCGTCATTTCTGCACAAAATATGCATAAATACAAACATAAATAAATGTCTGAATGGCCACACACAAACGCACACACTCAAAATCCATCCTTATTCGAGGCTTGGCTGTGTGGGTCACCGACTCTGTCTGTCTGTGTGCCACCCCCTTCGTCCACCCACTCCTTCCACCTTTCGTCCTTGCCCCCACGCATCTCCTTTGAGGTTAATACACCCCTTACTTTTAGGGATAAGGTGTGGTTTGCATTGGTTTCAAGTAAGTAACAATGTATGGGGGCATTTTCGTCCTATAAATGGGATATATAAATTCTCAATCGGATAGGATTTCCTCTTATTATTTTTACTATGATTTATTTATTGCCTTATTCTTTATTATTTTATTACCCTCTTATTTTTATCATTAGCATTATCATTATCATTTCATATCTAAAACAAATACTTTATCCTAGCAATAAATATCGTATAAAACTCTATCGATCCTTTATCACCTGCAAGCACATTATGTAATCTTCTTTAAACAAGTTTTTAATATATCCCAAATAAAATTTATGTATACCCTAAAATAGTTCTAGGTTCTATAGAAATCTATGCTAAAACAATTTGCATACATCCTTTTCCTTATACAGAGAGTATCTGGTAATCGACTACCGTAATTTGCTGTGTATTTTTGCGGTTGGCTTGGCCTTTCGATGATTTTTGCTGCTAAACCCCCTCACTTTCGGCTCCTTTGCTCGCTCACTTAACCTCCGTATCGAATTTGTTTCAATTTTCATAGCCGTCGATGCAAGTGTTTGGAAGTGTAATTCTCGCCCCGAAAGATTTGTAAGGAATGTTAGTTGCTGTTGGCCATTTTTACAACCTTTACTCACACCACACATCACACTTCATAAATAAGGCTAAATTTACAATTTTCAAGTTGGAAAAACGTAAGAAATGTATTTCATGTGTAGGTATTAAAGGCATAGATAGCCATTTTACAGGTTTTGTTGCTTGGCTGGCCAACACTACGTATGGGTGATAAACTTGAAAGTAGCTTATCAATAATAGCAGGTAGTCAACAGAAATCATATTTCGTTTGACTTAAAACTCAGATGGCAAAAAAGTGCAAAAGCCACAATAATAAATGTTTAACACCTGTACATTTGGATAAACGGGATGAAAAGTGAACAGTTTCTTGTTTTTGCCCTTATTTTATGAATACATAAGTACTTTATGGACCTTTTTCATAAACATTTCCTCTGTTGGTTTGCCTTTTTGTTTTCTGTTTTCTGTTTGCATTAAAGTTACGCATTTTACCTTTGCTCGTCCTGACTTTCACGTGTGTGTGTGTGTGTGTGAAGTGTACAATAAACGCGGATTTCTCTGCCAATATTTGTCTGCAATCATTTTGGCCTGTCGGCAGTTCGCAGAGTCTGTCTGTCTGTCTGTCTGGCTGGGCTGTCCTCCTTTCCCCCCGATTTCGATTCCTCCGAGGGGCTGTCTGGATTCGCCACTTATTTTCCGCCCAGCCAGACCAATAAAACCTCCTCCATCGGCAGCAACCTTCGAAAGCAGCAATATCAACTCATCGCCAGTCGATTAACACTCACACACTTTCACATATATATTTTCTGTCCTATAAATAATTCTTCAGTATCAGTATCCCTGCGTCATTAATTAAGGCCTTAATGCCAACTGGCACCAAATAAAATTAGAATTGGGAAGTCTTTGGGTTAAGAAAATATAAATTAATTGGCAGGGAATTTTAATAAAAATTCATTCTTTATTTAAACAAATTTTGGTTTTGTATTGAACAATGAATTAAGAATTTTTATTGTAAAAACAGGAATTTTTAAGTGAAATTTAAGTGAAATTTATAATTATTTCATAAATTATAAAAATCATATCATATATTTTTTAGAGGCTTTTTTCCTTGATTTTGGGAGATATTAATATGCAAGTATAACATTATATTTTACGTGTTAAATATTATCCTAAATACCATACCAAACCATTCTTCTTGTCAAAACTACATTTATTCTACTATAAATGATATGCTATGATATATAAGCCGACTATAATTGTAATTTCTCTCCCTTGCAGAATTCCAGTCCCTGGGGCCCAATAAATCTAGCCAGCCGGTCAGTCAGTCAGTTGAAATTTAAGCAAGTGTCATTGGGCCTCTAGGAATGGAAATAAGAACGAGTGGAAAAGAATAAATCACTTATAACACTTCGAAATAATGAAGGAAATAAGAGTGCTTAGTGCCAATTAGCCTCAATTAAGGGATCATTACGGATTAGGCTTCACTACCTTTTGGCAAACAACAAAACCAGACAACCTGTGTATCCTTCACATTCTGAATGGGAATTCAGAAGCCAACCCCCCTCTTCAGCACCCCCCTCTGAAAACAACAGGCAAAAGCGATAACTAACTAAATAAATAACATAAATTAACTAAATTTGTAGACAATTTAGTCTGCTAAGTGTAAAAGTTTTTTGTTTTCCCCGTCGCTGTTTTCATTTCAGTTTCTACTCTTTTTTGGCCATTGTCATTGCTACTGTTTTTGTTGTTGTTTTTTTGTTACTGGCACTTTTGCACTGGCCAAAAAAGGGAGGGGGGTTTCTACAAAAGTGAAAGGGGGTTTTTTTGGGGCAGGGAAGAGCCAAGTTTTGGTAACGGTTTTGTGCATTTTTGGTGCTTTTGGGGCCAAAAAAAAGGATACGCTTGGATCGGACCCGGTTTTGGGTCTCCTCTTATGTCACCGTTCAAGGATGCGCCCATCCAGGACACCCAGGACACACCGAGGACACCCAGAACACACACTCGGAAAAGAAAGTCGAAGGACGAACGGGGAAACGGGGGACCGGAAGGGGCAGGCAATGTTGTGACATCAAATGTTCATGTTAACAACTTTTCCAAAACTCAATGAGCTGTTGTTTGTGTTGTTTGGCGCCCAAGTGTGTGAGCCAGGATACAGGATACTGGGATGTAGAACGAGATGGAGCTAGAGATAGCGAAAGAGATGGCCATAGCGATAGCGATGGGGGGAGAGAAAGAGAAGGCTAGAGGGCAGGCAGGCAGCCAGGCAGCCAGGCAGCCAGGCGCAAACACGAATCGAGTGTTTTGTAGCAAATAATTTTGCACAAAGTTCTCGCCTTAACGATTTGAACACATGTTAACATGAAGAGTAACAACAGTTGCAGCAACTCCTGCTCCTGCTCCTCCCTCTCCCCCTGCTCCTTTTCGTCCTGGCCAAACACTGGGCCAAAGGCCAGCAAGGATAACACTTCGACATGGTAATAAATATGCTTGAGGCCCGAGGACGAGCCAAATGAAAGCGACTGCAGCGGCGACAGTTCCTTTAATCCTTTTTCTCGCACAGAAAATCCCAGATCTCCCCATTTTAAAATGGTATCACCATCAGACAAAATTTATAATTGTGTTAGTTGGTTACTTTCCTTCACAGCTTACCGCTCAACTTTTAAATCATATTTTATTGAAAGCATTATAGTAAAATAATTTAATTGAGTTTAACTAAATTTAATTTGATTGCTCTTACTATCCGATTAATATTAACTTTTATTAGCATTATTTCTTCTTCATTTTGTCACATAAAATATTTTTTCCATTATTAAAGTCATTTATATATTTTAAAATTAAAATCTAAACTTAGTTGGCGTTAAAAAAAAATCATAAATGGCGAATGATAAGGATAATTATTTTATTTATATTTATATTAAAAACTTTCCTAAAAATTTAACGAATCATTTCAATGGTTAAACTAGTTAAATTGTGTTCATACTTTTAACAAATATTCTTACTAACTGATCCCAGTTATTCCACTACCAATAACTAGTATATAAAACTGCCTAATTTTATTAAAATCCTACTAACTGCCAGTTTTTTTTCTACATTTAAACCATTATTACAATGATGCCTCAAAGCAATTTATAAATTATTCATATATGCTATCAACTAGCTACGCACTTTGCAAATTATTTTCATTTTATTTGCATAGCCATAGCGACACCACTATTATTGTAACCACAATTGTGGTTCCGGGTGGTGTGAGCCAGCCGACAGTGGTATAACATGTTTATATGATGTCTAATAAAATGAAGCGCGAAAAATGTGAAATTCGTATTCCGAGGAGCTTCGAGGAGCCACTTCTCCCAGTTTGCCCCTCAGTCGTCGAGATAGCAAATTCGCATACCAAATTCACGCCAAATTCAGCTCTCATCGGGTGGGAGGAAATTGCGTATTTGAAACACGTTTAAGCAGCTGCAGGAGCATAAAAAGGATAAGGGACTGGCGCAGGAGGCGGAGAATCCTGCACATGCAGCTTTCTTCGCCTTCTCTTTTTCACCCCCGCCCCCTTTCCATTCACACCCCCAATTTTCCCATCCCAAAAACAACCAACCGCGATGCATAAAACTTGCAACGAAGACAAATCGTGACACAAAATATGGCAAATTGTAAGCGAAATTATTTGGGCAGGGTGGACCAAAAAAAAAGAGAGAAAAAAGGGTGATTGAATTACGCCCGCGGCCCAGTTGGCCAAACCATCGGCTCAATCACTGATTGGCATTGCCTGGATTGATCAGCGAGGCAATCAAAGCCGGAGGCTTCTGAGCCAGTGGCGCACCAAAAAAGGGGTGCAATTAGCCCGCCTGATTACCAGCTAGATATTCTTTGGCAAACTAAATCACGAACTCCAAGTCGGTGGTTTTGTCCATACAGACTGTACATGAAAAATAGTATTTTCAATAATAATATACACAGTTTACCCTTTCCCATCAATTAAATTCTATAGATTTGTAATATTCGTAATAATCTATTTTCTTTTCTAGAAAAAAGTCATACAACGTAAATATTTGTATAAAAAGTGACTTTAAATGTATTAAAAAAATAAAATAAAAGTAAATAACACAATTTTAAATTTAGGTAATAATTTGAAATAATGTTCTTGGATTTTAATTATCAGTCCCTCTTTTTTCACTCGGAAATTATCAATGAACTTATCAGCTTATAAGTTTTCCTTGAAAAAACTATCGGTACTAGTGGTATGGGAAACTCATAAAAACTCTGGGAGATAATGCTGATTTATCATCCGTCATCTACTTTTATTATCTTAACTATTCAATTCAAGGTATTGGAACAATAGTTATAAGAACATAAATAAAACTAAAAGACGATAATTACTCTAATTAGCCAAAATAACATAAAAGTGCTGGGCTTTTAAGAAAGGGAACCAGGGGGTTAAATTCAGTCTACGCCCATGTTTCATCAATCCGAAGGCCTGCTTTCTGAACCCCCAAGTCTGAACTCCCAACTTTACCCTTTGCTCTGATCCTCTGATGGGATGGCTTAGGCGGCACTTGAAGCCTTCACTGAAGAAGGGAAGCGGAGGAAAGGAGGAGAGCGGAAACGGAAACGATGGTAAATAGGTGGTAACACATCCTTAAAATATTTACCCGCGCGGAGAGTGAGTTGTTGGGGATGTCTTGACCGGGTAAGCCGCTAAGCTAACCTTGTTACACACGCCACATCCTCGACGGATGCTGATGGTGTCGGCGGTCGGGAGAACCGATTTGCCATGTGTCAGGTGGATGAAGCGCGGCAGCAACGTAGCAACGTTAACAAGTTGCCCACCTGGGCGCATGTGAGGAGATTTACTACAAAAGGGGGAAGGTAGAGGGTCCTGGGAAGTCCTGGGAAGTCCCAGCTGTCTGGCTTCCCAGTGGATGCCAGCTGTCTGTCCCGATCCAATCCCATCGGCTCCGCTCGCCTGCATCCTTTGTCTTTGCCATCGGAATAGGGGGGTTGCAGGATTCAGGATGCAGGATTCAGGATACGGGATTGGGAATGGGAACGGGGACAACTGACAGCCAGTTCCGCGGTGCACTCCCCTCCTCCTCCATTTTCCCTGCTTGGCACTTTACCGTGCGCTTTTATTATTATAAAATACGCATGAGTTAGTGTGCATATTTCATGGATTTTGTGTATAAAAGGGATAAAAATGCAATCAGTTGCAAAAACCAGCAAAGTGAAACGGACATAGGACGGAGCTCAGCAGAATGGAGAGGCAAGTGCAGCCACTTCTACACCCACCTTTCCATCTCGCACCTTTCACGACAATCCAATCCAATCCGATCCAATCCCCACCAGCTGTCACCCGCAAAATCTCCGCGAAATCCCAGCTGAAATCTCCCTTACAATGCGATTTGTCCGCACAGAAAAGACCTTGATCCGGTCTAATTTCATAATGGAAATCTATGAGCAAGTGTGAAGTGGCCTGGGGATAAAGTGGAGTCCAAGGACAAAGGCCACATGAAATCATATTCTCTGGATTATTTCTTTCGTTTTGCTTTTGCATTTCTTAATCCCACCTTTTCTTTTTTTTGCAGTTTTAATAATAGCATTTGAATATTACGACTCAGCACCCAATTAGCCATTAAATATACATCTATAATAGTTAATTAATACATTTAACAGGCCAAATTCGATTATCATCGAATCTCTTATTTCTGAAAACCACTTTTCAGGGTCACCACTCCATCCATCGAATTAGCCACATGTTTAATCGAGCCCCGGTACTTCGGCAGGCCAATTACTCAATATGATGGATGAGCCAGCGACTGCTTAAATGAGTTGCCCGACCAAAAACCTCGTAGAGGGGGTGGTGACCCCGACCCCCGCACCCACATGCACACGCACACACACGTGCCGCACCGTAACAGGTGACCTCAACCAGAGCAAATGAGCAAATGTCGGATTAAACAGAACTTGCCCGTGGAAAGGTGAAAAGAGAATAGCTTCAAGTGGGTCGAGTGTGGGTCTAAGATGGTCTAGTTCCGGAGTTAGGGCACTTGCAAAAAATCTGTATAGTGTATAAAGAATTACATTTGTAAAATTATGTATTATATAAATAATTTTCTTAGGAGTTTGTTTAGTGTAGTGGTGTTTTTCCCATGAATGTTAAATATCCTAAATTTTAAATGTAAATTTTTTATGATAATGCAAACTTGTTTTTTTTTTTTGTAAGTTATGAAAATTGTATTTCAAAATTAATAAATCAATAATGCCTTAAAAAATGTAAGTTCCAAAAATCGAGAAATTTATTTATTATGTATTTTATTATTTGTTTATATTTAATGGTGATTTTTTAAATAAAATATTAGTATTATAGTCATTTAGTTGGTTGATCCTAAAAAAACGGAATAAATTCGATATATTTTGGATAATAATAGCTTATTTATAGCTTATATTATATATTATATATATTTTATTTTTATATTTATATATATTTTTAAAATCTACCCCTTTTTCTGGCCAGTGTCGAAACGGAGCCAGGGCATCCGCATGTATATGTATGCTGCCTGGTTAAGGACACAAAAGTCATGACTGGCATGAGAACGAGCTCAAGTGCCATTGAGGAGGAGTGCTCATATTCCCAGGCTTGCCACGCCCCCTCCGCCCCCTGCCACCCACCTAAAGGAGCGGCGCAAGTGCGCGAGTAAATTCAAGAAACAATTTTCAGGAATGACTTAACTTTTGCGTTTATGTGAAAAGTTTCGCAACGTGATGTTATGCGAGCGGCGAAAGGATATGCAATTCACTGCCGTTGAGGGTGTGGGTGCGTGTGTGTGAGTATCTCTGCGTATGTATCTTTGTATATATGTCGGTGCGAATTCAGTGGAATCGCAGCGAGAGACTCTGCTCGAGGTCCAGACCCCTGGTGATGTGGCCAAAGTCCTCCGAGTCCAGCTTATCCTTCTCCTCGAGAATCTGCTTGAGTCGCCAGCGCATCGCACGCAGCTCCCGCCGCGTCGCCGGTAGGCGGGCCAAGAGGGCGTGGCACTGGTCGGCGCTCAGCAGCCCATCGCCGTCCTCGTCGAACAGACGCAGAGTGGAGGCCAACTTCCGGTCGAGCGGCTCGCTGCGCCGGAAGTTGGCCAGTCCGCCGACGAAGTGCCGGAAGCCGAGCGACGGATGCAGCATGGCGTCCACCAGGCGCTCGGCCAGCGGATGGGCGGCCACCGGCGGCACTCGCAGCAGTTCGCTCCGCAGGACGCGATCCTCGGAGTCGCGATCGAGCGACTGATAGTGGCCATACAGATAGTCGAGTCGCGCCAGCGAGAATCCCGTCTCCGCCTGGATTTCGAGCAGCTCCTCGGCGGTCAAATGGCGGGAGGCAGCCGTGCCCATTCCCTTCGAGTCTTACGAGTCCTTCGAATCCTTCGCCTTCGCTTCTTCACGGCTCCTTCTTGATTTGATACGAAAATATATAGATAGAAGCACGTGCTGGATTCTGTTTGTTTTTTTTGCGCACCTCTTTTCCTGTGTATGTGGGTGTGGCTTTGGGGAGTGTGTTAATGTGTGTGACACTGTCGATCGGAGCGATCGATGGAGAAAGGCCATGTTCGATCGAAAATCTGATGGGCGATTTGTGATCACACAGGGATTAAATAATTTTTGACTTAATGAAACTGAGGGGGATTAATCAGCCGATAAAATAATAAGTATATATTTATAAATATAATATTCTTGAAAATATTAAGTAATTTTTACAATTGTTTATTTATATATTAATGAGAAGCTAAGATAAAAATCTATAAGCTTCAGCTCTTGAAAGTATTTACTTATAAATATTTAGTACAAGTCTGCCAGCATCTAACAACTATTATTAACAAACTGGGGATTTTCGAAACCAATTAATTTATAGAAAGTTTAAATTTTTATTAAAACGAATTTAAAAATCTTTTTTAAATGTAAGCTGTTTACTAAACGCTGTCTATTGATTTTAGCCTGACAACTTAAATCAATCATGAAGTATTAGCTTCATTATTAATCATCTAGAAGCTTCATTTAGCTGTGATTTTTGGGCAGCTCGACAGTTAATGGCCAAGCATATAAGGCTGCCTTTTGAAGGATTTACAGTCATTGGAATTAGCTCACACATCTCGGCAACGGCGGAGTGGTAACATATTATATAATTTTGAGTCGGAGCGCGGCGACACCTGACAGCCGCAGCAGCTCCACCCGCGTGCCACTTACCCCTCGTCCGGACTCAGGATTGCGGATGTTCTGGACAAAGCCTTCACTCATTGTGGCATGTGTCAAAATTAATTTCGTAGGCAATATTTTGACGGGCTTTCATGCTAAGCTGAGAGGGTCACGCCCCCTTCTCCTCCCCTTCTCAAAATCTGCACACCCAACTCCACTTCGAAATTTTGGGGGGAATATGTTAGCTCATGTGAGCAGGTACCACTTTTCACACCCTCTAATTTGGGGGTATTCTAGATCTATTCGATTTTAAAATACCATAAAAAGGTAACAATTGGATATTGAATTGAATTGAATTTTAAATTCACATTCATATTTTATATCTTTAAATCAAAGTTTAAACAAAAACTAAGCGAAAAATATTAAATTTAAGTATCCTTACATCAATATAACTTTCAATACAAGTTTCGTTTTAATATAAACTATAAGTTCAATATGCACATATAAATTTTAATTATTTTTATAGATTTTTCAATGTATGAATATCAAGATTTGGTTGTAAGGGGGGATTTCAGAAAACAAATTCATTGCATCCTTTTTGAATACCTTATTTCCGTTTCTATTTCACCCGAGCTAGAGGGGATTTATATATACCCTTTATAGGCTATAAAGATAATTTTCGGTGTTTCATACTGGGTATATATATGTAACCATGGCAATGAATCGGATTCGGAATCGGAATATACTCGTAAGTGCCCATGGGGTGTTTCCAGATGCTTTCCGTCACTAAATGCTACCGACACTCGGAGGTAACTTTGCCCCCAGCTTTTATTTCCTCCGCTTTTGGTATCGGTTTGTTTGGGTTTCGTTTCGTTACGTTTGGATTTGGATTTGGTTGTTTTGTACTTTTCTCTCCTTTTTTTTTTTTGGCCAGTCATTGCCCGAATCTGGGCAGAATGGAATTTTTTCCACATCATCCGGGGGATTGGGGAATGGGTAAGAGCTGGGGACCCCGAACCCCTGCCGCTCCATGATGGCGTCACTTCCACAATATGCAAATCTCATTGCGACGAATTGAAGAGACCACAAACTGGGGCTGATGTCCTGATAGCTGATATTAAAACCATTACTCCGATGCCCGGTGACCCACCACTGCCACCAGACCACCCAATCCACAGTATCTTCTGCAGTCCTCACAGCAAGACAACAAATTACAAAAATTAAGAGAACATTTTTGTGGATGAAAGGCATTTGGTTGGTGGAGTGGCCAAAGTCCTGCCTCCCCTTCCAGAGGTGTGAAGATCCTGGGACACGCCCCCTCCTCCGCCCCCTTTGTGTGTGCAAATTAATGAAATTAAATCGTCTTTATTTGATGGCTGTGAGGAGCGGAGAAAAGAATTCACTCGGCGTCACCACAGGACGCATGGCAAATATCCTAATGGAACGCAGACTGATACAAAGGGGAAGCCTCTGCAGGTGTACTTCAATGTTGTCGGCAACATTGTTTAAAAACCGAAAATAAGGGGGAGACATTCTCAAATAACAATAATAAAATTACAAGATTAGAGGAGGACTTAGCTAAATAAAAAATATTTAAGAAAATTTAAAAGCCGATCAGAAAAGATAAGAGAATAATGTTTCCAATAAACAGAAGAATGAATAATTAGAGAATGCCAAAACCAAAGTAAAATAAATCCTAATAAAAGAAGCAGGATCATTTTTGACGTTTCTTATTTATTAAAATATTAAAACATAATAAATCCGTAATATGTTTGTTCATAATTTGTCGAGAATTAAAACGACTTACAAAAAAATAGGCTGTAAAATATTAAAATCATCCAACATAAATCGTGGCATTTTTTTATAAGTGATTTGGAATCTCTCCTTTGCTACTCCAAATGTCTTTATGTATTTAAACTTGTTGCACTTGGCTGTAACCACTCATCTTAGTTTCATTTTAGGTTACAGTTAGAGTCTAGTCCCAAAGGGCATTCCCACTTCGATCCCTGCCAAATATCCGAATATCGTCTCGACTGGATGGCTGAATTAAATGGGAGTGGAATTGGGGGTGGTATACATACGTACGTATGTATTGGGTGAACGCAGATTGCGTTTTCACTTTCATCATTGCATTTAATACGAATGAAATTGTTTGGTGATGGGATCCGGAACGTGATGCGAATACCCAGAATTAATTGCAATCGGAGAGACGGCGACCAAGGAATCAAGGCGATTTCGGGGGAGCCAGCAATCCTATGCTCATAATATCGTTGGATGCTCCGCCGTTCTCTGTCCTTTGTGCCCTGTCCTACGTATCCCATTCTGGATGCTGGGTGTTGCACTGGGGGAAAAACTTGGTAAATAACTGGAGAAACCTTTTGCATCGAAGTAGGCTGATGTTTTAATTCCACAGGTATTTTTGTGTAATAAATAAACTAGTTTCAAAATAAAGATATTAAAAAAAATTCTACAAATAAAACAAGTTGACGATGTATCATAATTATAATATTATTTTCGTTAGTTGCTTGTATTGCATTTTAACCATTTTCAATCAATTCATCCACCTACAAATTCATCCACCAAATTACACGAATAAAACTAATGATATGTTGATTTAATTAAGGGATTATTGTTTTCTTTCCGTATAATAATACAATTTCTTCAAACGATCTATGTAAAATTAATGAAACGAAAAGAAAATAATATTTTTAATGGTTCTGAAGAAGAAAATATCTAAAATAGAGACCAAAAAACAATAAATAGTCATTCGTTTCTTCTTTTAGCTAAGTGTGCCGACCCGATGGTGTTGGCAAATGCTGCCAGTGGCTTTCTTTTGTCGCTTGCCGCACAAAAGCAGCGGGGCAAAGGACACCACAACAACACAACACCTTTTTCCGGCTGCCTCTGTCGTAATGCCACGCCCACGGCCTAACGCCTAACAGTCCACCGCCCACAGTCCATCGCCCGATGGGGAATCCCCCATCTACATTTCCATTCCCATTTCCGGCACCCGTGTGGGAATCGCCCGCTGATCTTTTGCAAAAGGTGCCCAGCGGCCGGTACTAAATCCAAAACCCCCCCTAACTTCTCTTGTTCAACCCAGCGGATCCAATGGACAACAGAAATTAGCAACTAGAATCAACAGACAAACGACAATTAACGGATGGGAATGAGCATTAGGGTGGAAAGCTGGGGGCGCGGGTCGGATTGAGTGGAAATGAATAAGTAAGTGAGTGAACTGTGGGTGTGGGTGGGTGTTTTCAGGTGTTCAGGTGTTTTCAGGTGCTTCCAGGTGGGTCGCATCGCCAATTGTTTGGAACAAACGCCGCCGTTCCAAACAGAACTGAAAAGAGTGGGTGGCAACTGGGCCCAAAAAGGGAAGAAAGACGAAGGTGTAACCACCACCTGGCGATTTGGTATTTTGGGCTTTCCCCTTTTGGCTCTGCCAATGCCTTTGGATGCCCCATTGTGGTCGCTTTTTCCAACAGAAAAACAGAAAAAAAAAGAAAACGAAATGGCTGGAGATATGGAAGGTGGTAGAGCTCTATATGTCCAACCAGGCTGCTTTATTGTTCTTTTTCTGTGCCTCTTTTCTGGGCCAACTGCGGGCCACTCAAGTCCTTAAATTTATCCGCATAGTTGTATTCTGATTTTCTTCTACAAGGATTACAAAAAATAGTGCTTGAAAATAGTAGTGACGAATTGAAGGATTTTTAGCCAATGAAAATGATAATTTATATATTTATTGGACAAAAAAATGGATAGTAATAAATAATAATTGTAAATGCTTTATAGTTGTTTATGAAATGGAATGGGAAGGAAATTCAGGTTTATTTGAGGGAGGGAAACTTAAAGTGCAACCCGCATACCTTACCCCAGTCGCTTTCCCACCCCTTTCCCTCCCTCTTCCTCTTTCCCCACGCAATCGCCATTTTCTTCGGCCCACGCGGCGTATGAGGAATGCGAAATTGCTCATACCACCCGTGGTCCCGCATCTGAGGAACTGGGTGACAGTTGATTTGCCTGTCGGCAGTCGGCAGTCGCAGCTAGCAGTTCGGAGTATAAGGAGCACTTGGAGCACTACAGGCGGCACTGCGGGCACTGCAATTACGGCGACTAGAGATTTTTCTAAGAAAACCGCACAAGGCGACGACGGCATTCCAAAGTAAATTACAAACAAAAATGTTGCAACGAAAACGAAAACGAAAACGCAAACGGGACCGAAAAGCGGAAACCGCAACAGCCAACAAAAATGTAAACAAGGGCATGGGGGTTTTTTGGGGGTGGCTTTCTGGGTGATTTTCGGGGCGAAAAAACAAAGCACAGCAAAAAAAAGGGCAGGAAAAAATCAAATTGAAAATGAAATGCGGGGCGACGAGGAGGAGGAGGAGGAGAAGGTTCAAGAGCCTTGGCGGCCAAGCGACTGACGCCGTCCGTCTTTTAGTCCTTCAGTCTTTCAGTCGCCAAGGACTCAACATCCATACCCTCCAGCAGAACCACCCCCTCCGAATTCCGCCCTTCGTGGCCTTGCCTTGCTTATGCAATTTGGTATGTGTTTCCCAAGAAACCTTTGTTGCATTATTGCCGCAATTTGCAGAAGTGGTGACGTGAGAGCCATCAGAGTGCTGCGTCCACGAATATTGCCCTGCTCCTCGCTGAACTTCCCTCCCTGCCCTTTGCCTCCCCAGTCCTTCACTCCTCGTCCTTCAGCCTGCGGCCCTCGATCCGCGTCTTTGCCGCGCTGCCCCTTCAGCCAGACAGCGAACAAATAACAACTAAGTTGGCAATTTGAAGTCGCGCGAGCCCAGCTTGAAGCGAAAAGGGCCCTTCGTTTGAGCAAACCGCAGCTTTGATACCCTCTATTTTTAGAGACTACAAAAATTATACTAAAATTTATTTGATTTAATTTTTAATATTTTTATCTGCTTATATTTAAAAAAGAGTTAGGTCTATAGGATTCGTAAGGAAATTTTTGCAGGGATTTTACCAAACATAAGCATATTACTTCCTTGAAAATTTACCAATTTAAACATTTTTTAAGTGCAAACAAACACCTGAAAATTATGTTAAAAAATATGAATAATTTTAATCAGATTAGCAAATCTTTAAAGCGAAATGGTTTCTGTATGTAGTACACCCAAAAAAAATCTTGATATGCAATGATGATCGATTTGATGTTATGTGGTATCAAATTTGACTTGATATGCGGGCACCTCAATTTGATATGCTCGGATTGTGAATAACAGGAAAGTTCGAATTTCTAATGTGTCTTTCTCCCTCCCATTTATGTAACTTATCTCGCTCTTTTTCGAATGGAGAAAAAGTGCGAGTTGGAATTCCACTTTTTCGAAGTCAGAGAATCTCGGAGAGAGAAATTTACCATGCCATATCAATTTGATCGCGATGTATTTTCTTCGCATTTAAAACCACAATTTAGTTGAATTTTTCCTTTTATTCCGCGAATAGTTAATTTGAAGTCTAAGCAATCAACCCTCGGTGAGTGCGTAGGTCATAAGGGCCAGGATTCCGGCGTTGCCCAGTGTGGCCACGTGGGCGCCAGAGCCCTCGATGAAGCGATCGACCAGAGCTGCCCCATATCGGGCCACGAATGCGGTGGCAGCCACACCGCCGTAGAGATGATTCCCATCCTTGAGGGCCAGGTACAGGGTGGACCCAATGTTGCCCAGCAGCGCCAGATCCTTCAACGTCTCCGTGGAGCTGTCCCAGTCGTCGCCCATCTTGCCGATCATGTCGTAGAAGAGCGGAATCAACGAGAGGCCGTGCACCAGCGCCACTCCCGATTGATCGGATACCATGTAGAACTCGATGTTGGCCAGTGGCAGCGGGATGACCTCCAGAATGCTGGCCGAGATCATGAAGGTGCGTCCGCACTCGTCGGGCTCCTCCGAGTAGGAGCGCACCAGGCCCAGCAGGCCGTGGACCAGGCTAAATGATGCCGCCAAATAGCCGTACGGATGGTCCGCCGGGGTCAGCGAGTACATCGCGTAGACGCAGGCCGAGATGAGCAGCAGATTGACCAGAGCCCCAATCACAAGCATGTTTCGGCTTTTCCTCGATTTTATCACTTAAATATCACGATCTGTAGAATCACTTTTTTTTTGTCCGAACGCTAATACTGAGAATTTGGAATGTTGCTTGCTTGAAACGATGACAATGACTGAAGTTCAAATGGAATGCGTAAGGGAGAAATAAACACAAATGTCTTGGGCTACTCTGTAAATTTTATTTGAAAATAGGTTAAGTGTGACCATATTTCGAGGGTGCCGAAGAATTCGCATTATAAATTAGAAAAAAATTCCTATTAGAAGAAATTAATATTTTTAATGTTTAAATTTTTGTAATTCTAGAAATTTTATTTGAAAATATAACAAGTCCAGTGTGACCATATTTAAATTGTGCTGTAGAATTCGCGTTTTATTAAATGCAAGGGCATGTAAACATCGACTTGACCAAGTTCATTGCCTCTTCCGTTTTTAATTCTTATTAATTTGCTTTCACCATTTTCCAAACCACTTCTTGCCCTGAATTCCAGAACCAAATAGCCATGCCAATGTAGGGTATTCCCAGGCAAAGAACCCAACCGCAACCGGAATGTGGAGCTAGGGGCAGCTCATCTCCAAAGTGGCCACCTCAGTTCCGGATTTAGCCAGAGATTACGATGGATTGGTAGAGCTGGGGGTACGAGTTTCCCTGGTTGAGTGGTCAAGCGCACAAGGACATCGATCATAACACCTGAACGCAGGCCATGAATAACCAAGGGGCCGGGTTAAAATTTGATTCACCAACACCCGAGAATCCCGAGCGCCTTTTTCGCTACTCCATCGCTTCAATAAAACTGCAAAGTGCCAATTACAAAAATAACAAGTTAGCCCCCGAAAACTTGTGTGTTGTGTGTTGGCTTTCCGACATTCCAGTGTTTTCGTTTTCTTTTTCCTCCTCCTGTTTTTGTTTGCCCCGATGCATTATTAAGTTTATACCAAGTAATTCGCAGTGTGTTTGTATGTGAGTGTGGCATTTAGCTGGCAAGGACATTTTCATGGTTTTCCAGTTCTGCTGTCGGAACAGCAACTTTTTCGTAGCATACTTTTGCCGGCGCATTGATTGGCCCCGGGCATTTGGACTTCAACTGGCAGGAGCAGCAGCAGGAGTCAACTAGCAGCTAACTTGATCCATCTGCAGGCCTGCAGCCAAAAGTGCAGGAGATGCAGAAGGGAATCCGAGGTTGCTGGATGGTCAACTCAAATTGACTGCAGCTGGGGCAGCACGAAGAGGAACTTTTGCCATCGCACCCCAAAAACAAAGCCAAGTACGAGTGCCAACTTGTATTGTTGGGGTCTGGGATTAGGCGGCCATTGGAAAACGGGGTGGGCAAAACTATTGACGGGGGGGAAAACTGTGGCATGACCAACGAAAATAATATGAAATAAATTCCAATAGAGCCACCGAAGGATGAGAAGTTGAGTGGGCTCGAGAGCTGGGGCCAATTGGGGATTGGGAATGGGAATGGGCATAGAGATGGGGATTGGCCAAGATGAGTGGCTAGACAGTCGGGGGTTAGGGGTTAGGCTGTAAGACTGCGAAAGGGCCGGCGAACAACAAATCCGTACAAATTGAATAAGAACTCAATCTTGGCTACTGTGCGAACAACTTTCCTCGGAAAGGACCCGTGACCAGGGCGGAATGATAGAAACACAATGATGGAAACACAACCGAGTTGCGGAAAAACATAAAGTACAAGAGCAGTAGAACAAACAAAATGGAGACGAGACTCACCGACTGGTACTGTGATCATGGAAATAGGGGCAATAAAGTGTAAAAAACTGTAATATAATGTAAGTATAACTGTCAGAAAATTAAAAAAAATATAGTAAGTAGGAGTTATATTTTAAATTTTTATTATAAACACAAATGGGAAAAAACTTTCAATTTATTAAAAGGGGTTTACATCTATTACCATGTTTAAATAGCCACTGCTTCATGCATTTAATTGTTTAGAGTTGTTATAACTAATTATAAATAATAATAAAAGGGTGATCAACGTATAATTAAACTTGTGCCGTCTTTAAAATATAACATTAAAATGTTTATTAATAACGAGTTTAATTTTTAAATGCACTACTGTGAGTCTTACTTATAAAGTGCAAAAATATCATAGTACTCACTTCTGTCTACATGGCATATAAAATGTATAATGTATAAATGTATAAAATTAAAATTATTTTCAATCTATTCCACAATCTGTCTTAAAATAAAACAAACTAAAAAAAAATATATATAAAATTCACCAATGTTTGATTCTAAGATATCACAGTTACTAAATAAATAACTAAATGATTTAATTTGCCTAATTGTCACCACTTTAAATGGGATATACCCATAAGCTGGCTGTTTGATGGGTACGAAAAGGAATTGAATTGAAATTCCTTGGCAATTGTTTGTGTATCATTATGGTCATCATCAGTGCCCACGACTTTGGACTGTGTGTTTGTTTGTGCCCGATGTTATTATTATGGCTATCGATGCAGCATGCCCCCAATGGATGGATGGGCTTTACTTTAAAGTGGGAACAGGAACGGGAATCGGTATTGGAATCGGAATCGGTCTTACTTGGTACCGCGGGCACGTAGCCATAACCTAACTCAAGATCGGGCGGCTTTAAGGACGCGCATTTGGGTGTTTTAAGAGGGGTTTTCGGTTGGTTTGGGTTTTAGTTCCCCCCATCGATTGATTTAGCTTCTCGGGTGTTCGGCGTTTGGCACTCGGCTTTGTCGGCCTGTCGACGCACGCGGCACTATTAATTATCATGTTAAAATGTAATTAATTAAAGATGTCGTCAACGTGCGTTTGCACATAACTTTCAATGAAAAGTTAATAAATTACATAGTGCCGAAAATGAAATTACAAACGCCATCAACGAGCCACGACAGCCGCCGCAGCAGCAGCAAAAAACACAAAAACCCGGCCAGCAGCAACAACAGCAAAAACAACAATGATAACAAATCAAACGAGAATGTTTAACCTGTCCATTGACGGTAGTATCTATACAGATCCCATTTATCCACGCGGGTATGGATGAAAAAAAAAAGAACCAACCACAGCAAAACAAATTAATAAATGCATAATAAATATGCGTAATAATAATGACTAAAGAAAAATCAGAAACAATAAATATTATTTGAGTAGTGACTCCCACAAACCGAAGGCAAACATCGGAGGAGGATGGAGGATGTCGGCTGACATGTCATAAACGTTTATAAATGTTCATGTGCGTAAATAAAATCGTAACAATATTAAAACTGATGCGTTGCGCTGTATTAAATAGATGTCTGTAGGGAAAATCCGGAACCCTGGAGGGTCGCAAAACGGAAAAAAGGGAAAAGTGGAGAGCGGAAAAGTGTAAAAGTGGAAAGCGGAAAGCGCGCTTTAAAATAATTTATCGCGTGCAATATTCACACACATGCTCAATACGTGCGCGAGTCCTCAAGTGCGTGACGCCCTCATCCGCCCCTTAATTTTCCACCCCCCTTTTCCACATTTTCCCCCACCCACCGGGCGTATGGGTGATCTTTGGCCCACCCACTGAAAACGGAACATTTGTAAGCAAGTCAGGCAATCGCTTGCCCAATTAAGTGCGATGGAGCACCGGCTGAGCAGCCAAACAGCGAAACACCAAAACAACATACAACACAACCCCTGAGCGGCCTCATAAATGTTATCACAATGGCTAATTCGACAAAGTCAAAACACTCGGCACGCCGACAAGGAAATCCGCCTCCCTTCTTCGCAGCAGCAGCAGCTCAATTAAAAGCGGCAAGCACATAAAAAGCTCCTTAAACTCGCAAACATTCACTTTGATTCAAAATCGTCCTTAAAGAGCGTGTGCCACTGGTTACACCAAATAATCACCCAGTGATATAGATAGACAGTCATTCCGGCATTTTCAGAGATTTCAGAGCTACTCATTTGGGGGTTTCTTTATAATTACCCTTATTTCTTTTAATAATAATATTTTTAAACTAATGTTTACGTTTTCCTGGCTTACAAAGATTTTAATTGTTGATTATTTTGTGTAAATTTGATTCTAATGATTTAATTGATCATCTATTTGAACTCGTATTTACTGCTCTTTTACAAACGTTTTGTATGAAAAATAACCTAGGAATGATGAGCGCATTTATTAAATAAAATTAAATTTAAAAACTATTTATATTTGTTCCTTGATGTTTGATTTGTCTGCATTTTGCCTTCTCAACTCTTTTTCTGTTTTTTTTTCTACAAACTATTTCGAAGCACTGAAAATTATTCTTTAAGAATCTAATCGTTTTAGATTTAGGATGTCAACTTAAATAATTATATTTGATTTGTTGCAACTTAAATTCTTAAAAAAAACATTGTTAATTGTTTGTCCTTCTATTGTAAACTAAAGGTAGTTCGATAAAATTTATATGGATCCTGAATCTATTTAGATATTTTTTTTTTATACTTGATTCTTAGTACTAATACTTAAATTTATTTTGGATCATATTGAAAGAATATATCAATACTTGAATCTTTTTTTTGCTTCATTCTGGAATATTTTATGGATCATACTTGATCCAATTATAGATCAAATTTAAATATTTAATGGATAATACTTCAATTAAATTTGGAGCAAATCTGAATCGTTTTAAGATCATTTTTAAATTATTGTGGGATTATTCTTGAATCATTGGTGAATGGATAATGGATCATTGCTTCACCTTTAATATAAGCTTAGCTTATTTAGGTAATAAGATACTAGTCAGAAATAGATTTCCGTGCAGGAGGATCAAGGAGGAATGAGACTTTCAGGGGGACTGAAAGGATAATACATATCTACTGCGATGCGTCGCCGTTTATCAAATGCTTCGGAATGTTGACGTCCCGCGTTTATCTTGGTAAGACCCAACCCCCCCCCCCCTTTCTTTTCGACCCACACCGCCCACTTTCGCCACCACCCCCTCGCTTTTGCGGCGAAGAAAAAGCGCAAATCAGCCACAATTGCCGATGACAGACGCAAGCATCCTGCTTTGGCTTTTGTGTGCGTCTTGTCACAGGACGAATGTGTGAGTGTGTGAGTGTATCTGTATCTGTGTGTGTGTGTGTGTGTGAGAGCGTCACTTTGT